GAATATGGCATTTAAAATGTTTTAATAACTTAGAAATTTTTTTCTTTTTTTTTTTAATGACTATGAGATATGTTGGCTCCTGGCAGTACCAATCTTCTTCAGAGAAAATGTGGGCATTGAAGAAACTGCATATGGAATTAACTTTCATTGTGGCGAAAGTTAGCCACTGGACAACAAAGTATCCTCGAATCAACAGGACAAAATGGACAGACAGGACATGAAACAAAGGACTACTGATTCTTGCCAAGACAAGTATGGTTGTGGCTTTAGCAACAGGCATCCTCTGAGGCCAGGACAATATGGCACCATCCCTGAAGTGGCCTTTGCAATCCGGAAAAGCTACAGTGCCCCTTTCTTTGCAGACAGCTGAACAGGCAGTGGATCAATGGCTTCTGATGTGCAGTGGAACAGCAACTGAAACAGTTATTCTTGAAAGAGTAACTAAGCTGACGGAGTCTAACCTCTCAATAGTAGACTGGCATTTAATAAAAGAGTTGAAGCAACCCACAAGCTGAGAAGAATGGGATGTGCCGAGATGAAGCCACACACAGGAGCCAAGAAGAATGGACAGCTGAATTAAAAAAAAAATCAGCAATTTCCAGAATTTAAAATCCTGAATCATGACAGGACACTAGTGGAATTCAGGTGTTTCTGGTACATGGATTACTCTCACCATGTGTGAGGTCGAACTGTTGGCCTTGTGTACATCCTACCTCACAAATGAATCTATCAGATATGCTAAGCCTATAGGCTGAAGATGATTCTCCAACGCTGCAGAGAAACCTCGGGTGACTGTCCAGGCAGCTGGCTGTTTCTGTCAACATTTTTTTGGAAGTCGCTTGTTTGCACTTCCTGTTTTACTAGGTTATATTATTTCCTTCTTAGGTTTCTGAGGGAATTGAAGATTAGATATTTATAGTTATAGTGGGAGATTAGATAGTTATAGTTGAAGATTAGAGTTATAGTTGAAGATTAGAGTTATAGTTGAAGATTAGGTAGTTATAGTTAAAGATTAGATATAGTTTTTCTTGTTAAGAATTTCAGAAAAGAAATTCACTAAAGAGGTGTAAGCGTATAAAATTGAAAGACATTATAAAATATTTCTGTTAGTAATATAAGTTAGGATAGAAAGTGAATCAGGTACATTTTGGACTTACAAAAATGGGATAGATAATGAAATTATTTTCTCTGAGTTTGTCAAATGCAAATGGACTAGACATTGTTTAGGTATTTATTGCTTGTATATATTGTATATAATTATTGTACTTTTTGAATATGGTTTTCTTATATTAGTTATAACTTTTTTCCTTTTTTCTTTTTATTAGAATAGAAAGGGGAAATGTGGTGATATTTTATTTGTGCTGAAATGTGATTTTATTTGTATATTAATAAATAAAGTTGCCTGGGGGTCAGAGCTAACAGCAAGCCATTTAGCAAAAGTCTGGCAGTGGTAGCACATGCCCTTAATGTGATCACATGGCAGGCAGGGGCTGTGTGTTCAAGGACATAGCCAGCTTGGTGACACACGCCTTTAATCCAAGTACCAACCATGGAAACCTGGAGGTCTGTATAGACAGGCAGTGATGAAGAAGTCATGTGGTTGGGTTTAGAACCAATGAGAAGGCAGAACAGAAAGTCAATAAAAAATACAGACACACAGAAAGTAGGTCTCTTTTCTCAGGGGAAGAACGGCAGTGGCTGGTAAGCTAAAGGCTATTTGCTAGTGCCCTGACCTCTTGGGCTTTTAACTCTTTATTTGGCTCTGTGTTTCTTATTTACTAAGATGGTTTAGAATGACATCTCCACTCAGGGCTGCTGCGGTACTGACAGAGAGCCCTCCTGGAGCTATTTGGCGTCCTCGTCTTTTCTCTTACGTTTCTATTTTTTCCTATCTGTTTCTTTCTCAATCCTCACTCCCCTATTCAGGACTGTTTGACAGGTTGGGTGGGATCCAACAGGCCAGTACACCTCCCTTTGCCCTTTACCACCTCCAGGAGGTGGAGGACCTGACCCAACCCCTTACCAGCTCCAGCACTCAGGAGAACAGGGCCCTGAGCCTCACCTGGGCGCCACAGTAGAGTTGACGGGAATGCAGGTGAGCCAGCGCGGAGGGCGAAGAGGGTCACAGCTGGTACCACCTCTGTCATCTCTGGTGCAGTGGTGG